CTATTGAGCCAAAGGCTCCGGGTGGAGTCCCTCAAGCAAACCTCCAAACCACCCACTGCCTTGTGGGTCAGGCTATTGAGCCAAAGGCTCCGGGTGGAGTCCCTCAAGCAAACCTCCGAAGCACAACGACCACCTCGCGTGCGATTGCCCATCAATGCAATCGTATGCCTGCGCGCAAAGCACTCAGCATCGGGTGCTGGAACGTGCGCACACTACTGGGCCGGAACTCCAGCAAGGGCCCGGAGCGACGCACTGCACTCGTCACGATGGAACTGGCGCGCTACCACATCGATATTGCGGCGCTCAGTGAAACCCGGCTCGCTGAGCAAGGTAAGTTGCATGAAGCAGGTGCTGGCTACACATTCTACTGGGTGGGCAACGCCGACTCAGCCCCACGTGAACATGGGGTCGGATTTGAAATATCCGATCGCCTCCATGGCCAGCTGGGGCGTGAACCAACAGCGCGCGAATGGTGACTCTTCGCCTACGACTCGGAAGAGGTAAGTTTGCCACTTTTATCAGCAGATACGGTCCGACAATGTGCTATTCCGATGACACGCGTGATCAATTCTACACTGAGCTACCCTCCGTGATACGGTCTGTGCCGAGGAGCGACCGACTATTTCTGCTGGGTGATTTCAACGCGCACGTTGGGCGTGATGCATCGGTGTGGACAGATGTTATCGGTCCGCATGGCATTGGTCCAGCGAATGCGAACGGTGACAGGCTGCTCTCACTGTGTGCCACTCACGGCCTGACGATCACGAACACTCGGTTTGCACTGAGTGCGAGTGATTTCGAAGGTTGGACGCACCCACAGAGTGGTCACGCTCACCTGCTCGACTATGTCATCGTACGTCAGCGTGATATGCGTGAAGTGCGCATGACACGTGTACTGAGCGGACCAGTGTGTGGGACTGATCATAAATTGGTGCGGACCAAACTGTACATATATTTTCTTAAATCTATGTATTTCACTCCTGTCGTGAATCGATGGCGTAAATTTAACATTCTCTCCCTCGGTACTGTGGCGAAACGTACTGAGCTGGAGAAGGCGATGGCTGCACGCCTGTGTGATGTAGATGGCATAGCCACAGTGGGCGACCTGTGGCACCACATCCGCGACCAGGTGACAGCTGCTGCCGAGGAGACCATTGGGCGCGCAAACTATAAGCGGCCTGACTAGTTTGATGAGGACAATGCGACGATTGGCGCATTGGTGTCAGGGAAGAATGCAGCATTTGCTGCACATGTTGCAGACCCCAGTGACTTGGGAAAGAGTAGCCAGTTTCGCGAACTTCGACGGCGACTGACCCAAGTGCTCCGTCGCATTAAAAATGCATAGTGGACGGAGAAGGCGAAGCAGGTGGAATGCTACGCCGAACGCCGCCAACACAAGGAATTCTTTCACTCCTTGAAGGCGGTGTATGGACCGAGATTGGAGCCTCTGAGGACGCTGATCGATGGTAGTTCAGGCTCTACCTGCACACAGACTGCAGACAATGCAGATCTGTCTCTTGAACAACCGTTCAAAGATCGACTGGCCTACATTGAACGGCCTGAAGCAGCATGATGTGAAGGCGAATCTGGCGGACACGCCGACACGGGAGGAAACGCAGAGAGCACTTCCTCAGCTGCGAAACGGCAAGTGTTCCGGTGCCGACGGGATCCCGCCTGAAGTATTGAAACACGGCGGACCCGCGTTGTTGACTGCGCTGCATCACTTGGTGCAACGTGTATGGATTGAGGAGGAGGTGCCTCCTGAGCACAAGGATGCCCTTGTGCTACCACTGTACAAGGGCAAACGGAGCAAGCAATGTTGCACGAATTATCATGGTATCAACTTGCTGAGTTGTGTGGGCAAGGCGATTACCCGAATCCTGCTCAACCGCCTCGTCAGTCAGGTTGTGGAACCTAACGTGGCGGAAGAGCAGTGCGGATTCCGTTCGGGTCGCAACACCATCGATCTAGTGTTTGCGGCTCGTCAGTTGCAGGAGAAGTGCAGAGAACGACACCAGCCGTTGTACTCGCTTTTTGTTGATTTCATAAAGGCATTTGATACGGTGAACCGCGAGGCATTGTGACTGGTGTTGGGTAAGTTTGGTTGCCTGCGTAAGTTTGTAAGTTTAATTGAATGTCTGCACAGCGGCATGCAAGCGAGGGTGCAGCTGAGTGGAGGGACCTCGGATGACTTTGCAGTTTTCTCTGGTGTGAAGCAAGGCTGTGTCTTAGCTCCTGCTCTGTTTAATATCTATCGTCATGCAATGATGACTTGTGCTTTTGATGCAGCTTGTGCTTACGGTGTTCGTGTGGAGCACCGTATTGACGGTGGGTTGCTGAACATCCATCGTTTCGGTGCGAGAACTCTAGTCTGTGAGACAACTATCCGTATGTTGCTGTTTGCTGACGACTGTGCGTTGTTTTCACACAGCGCGGATGAGTTGCAGCACATGACTAGTGCTCTGGCTTCGACAGCGGCCAAATTCGGGCTCACCATCAACACAAGCAAAACTGTCTGTCTCTTTCAGCCTTCACCGGAGGTGCAATCTTCAATATTGCGGCGAATCAGCATTGGTGCTGAAGTATTGGAAACCACCTCCCGCTTCTGCTATCTTGGGAGTGTGATGTCGACTGATCAGCAGCTACACATTAAGTTGCGTATTCGCATGTCGAAGGCAGCAGCGACATTCGGGAAGCTAGAGTACTGAGTGTGGAATAACCATCAGCTTACCATTGGCACGAAGCTGATAGCGTACAAATCCATCGTGCTGTCCGTTCTTCTATAAGGCAGTGAAACGTGGACGATGTACCGGCGGGATGTGCGATATCTCGAGCGGTTCCATCAGCAGTGTTTGCGACGAATTTTGCGCATCACTTGGGGCGACAGAGTAGCTGACACAGAAGCGTTGCGACAAAGTGGAATGTATGCAGTGGACTGCATATTTTTACTGAGACACCTAAGGTGGATCGGTCATGTGAGCCGTATGGATTCAACGCGGATACCGAAACAACTCTTATACGGTCAGCTGAGTATTGGGAAGCGGCATGTGGGGAAACCAAAGCTACGTTACCAGGACATGATCAAAGTGAGCCTCTCACGTTCTAATCTTGATTGCAGGTCATGGGAATCGAAGGCGGTTGATCGGCGTGCATGGCGCGATCTAATCACGAAGGCAGTTGCTGAAGTGCGGGAGAAAGACCTCATGCATGCAGAGAAGAAGCGGCAAGTGCGGAAGCGGCAAGCACCGATGGATTGTACTCCATCGACATCGAGTGCATGGTGCTGTAGCACATGCGGTCGCGAGTGCCTGAGTCAGGCAGGTCTAGTGAGCCATGAGCGAGGCCACTCGGGACCACTACCGAAGCGACGACGGGTCCTGCAGAGAACGTAGGCAGAATCGGCGCAGCGTTTGTAGGTACGCTGCATTCGATTTACTAACCGCGTGCTTGCATGCTAAGTCTCTTTATTTCAGGTGGTGGGTTTTCAATTTTGCCCTAATGCTTTTCTTTCTTATATACATGTCTATCTGTACTCTATTCCATTAACTTGCACACCTCGCTTAAGCCAATTGTATTCGATTTCCATAACATTATCGTGTTCGTGGCATTTCCGTAAAGTATACTTTCTGACCTCGTGAACTTATCTAGGATTCGTTTGTAAACAACTTATTTCATATGCTCATTAATTTAGGATTTATGTCACCGTTTCCTTATGCATTAATCGAGTTATTTTCTTTGTATCTCTCTCTCTCAAGTGATTGGCTGTTGTTTGATATCCCCCATGTGGCTGCGCTTGATGTGCATGTTGACAAGGTGCCTACCTGTCTATTACCCACTACCTCGTCCATACTGGCTCCAGGAGACAGTTGGTCGTTGCTGGAGGGGACGGGGTGCACGGTCCTTGTGCCGTGTTAGGATCAAAGAGTGGTTCCATGCACTCAGTGTGGAGCGGACTACTGTCAAGCCACCGCCTTGTGTGCGCTTGATTCCCCAAATACAGCGTGCGTGTGTTTGCCTGTGAAGGAATGTGGGCCGGCTCCGTTGGTGAAACGTGGCTCCCATCCGCATGCCTCCCGGTCTTATTCCTTCGGGTTTACACTGGATATGGGGTGTGTGGTTGGAGCTGTGGGTGGTGCAGCGCAAGCCACCCATGGTCCCTCTGTAGGCGCAGGCGTCCTGTGGCTGGCCACAGTGACAGGCAAACCCGAAACCGGATGCCGCCAACCATATATATAGCGGTATGTAATATATCCCGACCTATGAACGACAACTGAAAGGTTGCTGGCAAGATGTACGCGCCCAGTTACTGAATCTTTCCCTAGTCCGTCTAGGCCATGGACCGGATTTCTGCTCTTCATCGCTTATGAGATCGGAAGAATTAGGTCGTCGTATCTGCATGACAGTGAAGCATAAGTTCAAATCAGACAGTGTATGGTTTTTGGTGATTAATAGCGAGAAGAATGAATACATATAGCGGAAGATGTGGGTCTGGGACAAAACAGGAGGAATGTCATAGCATGAAAACGAACACTACGCGATGTCTAGTTGGATGAAAAATAAGCAAAACTCGACAAACGGAATCAGAATGATGTTCTGTCCGAGGGGTGACGATAATCCAGGCAACAGCGGGACAGTATTTATACGAGCAAGAATGGACGACAGACGACCCATAGCAGTGGTACTATAGAGATGATGAACCGGCAACTAACAGAGCTTCATAGCGTAAATGCATCAGACATGGTCAATAAAAATGGCAAAATAGTGCGTGTAGGAATGAGCGAGAACAAATGTCCAGCAAAATCCTAAAGTACAGTCAAACCTATCTAAGGCGATTACTCAAGGGACCGACAAAAAGTAGTCGCCATAGACAGGTTCATGCATATGGACATAACTCAAGGGAGGAAACTTTGGGGATATTTCTGACTGGTTGCTGTAGCAGGTTGAACTGCAGTAGGGGCTAAGAGGCAATAAAGATATCCAGTAGAAAACATAACACTCACTTTCTGCTGAGATATGATTTCGGAAGCCAGCACTGTTGGGTTTTCCGTTTTGGGCTTTGCATTCTGTACCTGAAGCTTTGAACGCAACCAACCTTCATGTTGTGTCAGGTTGTTCTGTAACTGAGAAACCTGTTCAGCGGTCAGGTGGTTGTAAGTGTCCTCTGCAGCAGCGATACTGTCCAACACTTTGCGTATGCGCTAACGGGAAAGTTAAATTCAGAAGGGATTGTTACACGTACGGAATTAAAAGAGAAAGTCATCAGCAGTATGCCGATACACTGCAGCGACGCTTTGCCGCAACGCTACCAAGACCGGTTGCGCGTGGGCTGAGTATACCGCGAGGACGCCCGCCCCTACGCGGATTCGAACCGGTGATCTAAGGGTTGCAAGCTAGGCGTGCAATCCTATCGGCCACATGCCGACGACTGATACACGTGTGAAGTAAATGAAGAGATGATAAACGAAACAAAACGCTGGACAGTAAATGGAAATAGAATAGTTGCAGGACATGATGCACCTTCATGATCATGCCACACATGGTGTACCTCGAAGAATTCGAGAATATTTATTTAAAGGATGTTTGTGAGTAACGTAAGTTTCGCAGAAGGCAGAAGTCACGATTAAACTCCACATGAAAATCTGCCTCGACGGGGAATCGAACCCCGGTCCACGAATTTCCGGTGCGCTGCTCTACCACTGAGCTACCGAGGGCTGACGATTAGGTGCGCAAATTTTGATACATGACTTCTGCTTGGTGCGCGACGTATTGCCAATGAGCTCACAGTAACTGTCCTGGTGTTGCAGATCGGCTCACTCACTCGTCACTTCCCAGTGGACCGAAGTAACTGCCTTCTACGAAACTTACGTTACTCACAAACATCCTTCAAATAATCTACCATCACCCTTTGGACTTCGGATGGACAGTTACTTCGGTCCACTGGGAAGTGACGAGTGAGTGAGCCGATCTGCAACACCAGGATAGTTACTGTGAGCTCATTGGCAATACGTCGCGCACCAAGCAGAAGTCACGTGTTAAATTCCGCACCTAATCGTCAGCCCTTGGTAGCTCAGTGGTAGAGCAGCGGACCGGAAATTCGTGGACCGGGGTTCGATTCCCCGTCGAGGCAGATTTTCGTGTGGAGTTTAATCGTGACTTCTGCCTTCTACGAATATTTATTTATTTAGATAGCTCACTACTGCTGCTACTGGAAGAAGTGACGGAGGAAAGCGCTGGTAGAGTGGAAGGGATGGACAATAAGTAACACCTAGACAACAGAAACAAAAGTTGAATGTCTGATGAGTGCCGAAAAGCACACACTATTACCGATGTGTGCATGTCGACGTGTTAGGTTAGTAACAAACAGTAGCGACACCAACCAAAGTCTCAACAGGTTTTGAAAACGAGAAAAACAATGAACTCGAAAGAATATTGGTAGATGACTGGCGCTGACAGACTTGTAACAGGGCCCGAGGAACAATGAACAATGCCAGAGCAGAAAGCTGTAGTGAGTGTGTGCAGAGCTGGTGGTAAAGGGAGACACGAAACGTATCAGGAGCACTAATGACCTGTTGGAACATGTGTACGAAAAATATTTGGACTTATTTAGCAACCTGGATTCTGCGCTTGGGTGCGGTATTGTTGCTGAAAGTTACCAGCTGAAAAACTGACAGGGAAATGTTGTTCCGGTGCGTAAGCGTACCAAAATGATCAGCAGAATACAACAACTACCCGGGATTCTCGAGTATCTTTCTAACTATCATCCGTTTTTATCTCCGGTCATCATTTCCACGAAGCGTATATGCTTGTTAGGTTGCGAGAAATCAAACACACAACTATCATTCACATATGAAGACGTCTATTAATTATAAACCTATTTCTATCGTTTGAATTGAAAGCGAAGAAGCATTCTACTGCTGAAACGCACAACCTTGTTATTTTAATCACACGTATATCGATCAATTATACAGACGTCGGATTTTTGGATCAGCGTGTGCTGGATACTACTTTTGCCTCAGATTACTGCGTTATCAGCGTTTTATCTGCGTGAATTGTGTGCCAATATTCTTCCTTTTGGCGTATTTTCCAAGCAATGCAAATTTGGCGACTATTCTTTTGCTACTTCCGGAGATCTCATTGATTTGCTTTACTGCCACCTCTGCTCGCCATCTTGGATTTGCTCTAGCTGGTGATGCCGTCTCAAGCTACTTGTGGTTCGTGTTCGAAATTTGTGG